TCGCCATTTTTCCTGTCACATGGTCGAGAACCCCGCTTGCCGGCGGACATTGTCTATGGATGCCCAACCAAGGACTATTGGAAGTCGGCCGGGAGTTACTCGAAGAGCATCCTCGCCGAACTGCAAGAGGCTTTCGAGGAAGCCCGGAAGACGGCAAGTATCGGCCAAGTGCGACAAAAGAAATTGTACGACAAGTGGGCGAAACACCACCCCTACCAATTTGGAGACAAAGTGTGGCTACACGCTCCAGTATCCAAAGATCGCCACAGGAAATTGGCTCTACCCTGGGTAGGGCAATATACCATCGTAAAGAGGATGCAGACCGCAAATGGCCTGCCTGGTGTCACATACAGGATCCAGAGTGAGGACACAGCTCAGCGACATAGGCTAGTTGTCCATCACAATCGCTTGAAACCGTGTGTGGCCCCTAGGATACCCAGGCCAATGGCGCATCAAGAGCCGGAGCTGGACGACGTCCCTGTAGAGAGGGGACCGGGCGTTCCTGCCCTGCCGGGGATGTTCTTCCCAATGATGGGTGGAGGACTTGGTGTCGGCATGCGATTACCAGCCACACCCGCAGCCCCTCCTGTCCTGGCGGCAGAGGTCGTGGATGACGGAATTCCCGAAGGTGGACCTGGCGCTGACATGGGGTTTCCTGCAGAACCAGCTGTCCCACTCGAGGAACCAGACGAAGGAGACGAACTGAGAGCTGTTGCTCAACCAGGGGAAAGAGATGCTGAGTTAGGAGTGGGACCACGTGTTGACATGGGTTTGCCTGCAGCACCTGTCGTCCAGGCTCCAGAACCAGAAGTTCCTGCTGTTCCACTTCATGAGGAGAGACCAGCTGATGCTGCCCGTGAAGAAGAAGAACACGACGAACAAGATGATGGTGCAGAGTTCGTACCACTTGCCTTGCACGTTGACGGTCACCTAGATGACCCACCGCTGGATGAGCATCACCCTGAACAACTCGTTCAGCTGGCGGAGGAAGCGCTGATCGAGGCCGCTCCAGAACCACGTGTGACGAGGAGTGGACGCGACGTCAATGCTCCCTCCTACTTGGACGATTATGTCCGACCCGTGAAGCTGTACAGCGACGCGACCCGCACATCGTGGTGATGCCGCAGGAGACTGCCCATGCGTCGTGGCGATGGCAGATTACCGCACACCGAAGCGATGGCGGATGTCCCAACGGAGGACGACACTTAGGCTCGAGGCTTACTAGACGCCACGAGCACGCGATTGTGTAAATAAGGCGTTGGTGTTTGACGCATTTCATAATTTTGTATAACATGGCAGGGTAGCTGCTTTCTTTTGTTTTGGAGTATCCTTTCCGGATAATGAGAGGCATCGACAGTCCAGTCATTTTGCTCAAAGGTCCTAGTCGAACGGGTGCTGTCGCGGCTCCAAGGCAAGACAACTTGTCTCCAGACACCGAACGTATTACTGTTGGTTCTTCAGCTTAAAGGTCCTAGTCGAACGGGTGCTGTCGCGGCTCCAAGGCAAGACAACTTGTCTCCAGACACCGAACGTATTACTGTTGGTTCTTCAGACAACGTTCCTCTTTCCCCTGGTGAGAACAAATCCTTGATGAACGTGGGCAATCAGGAGATACCATTGTTGTTTGACACTGGGGCGGATGTCTCGCTGATGCGCGAAGATGTATGGACCCTTGGAATAATCGTTTGAGTCTTCTTCCTTCCCTTCTTGGCTGCAGAGCGACCCTCATCCACAGCACGTACTAGTTTTCTGACTGCCAGGTACCCCAGCAGTCAGCGCTGCGATGTCCATATTTGCCGCAATTGTAGCAGTGTCCGTCGAATTGGTCATTGCTCTTGATTGGCAAGAGGGGAACCCCATGGTTGCGAAACTTGCCCAGACTTGCCTGGTTGCACTCGTTGAGCATTCGAACCATCTCCATATCTCTGACCTTGCCTTTGACCCCGACCTTGGCTTGGTCCATGGCGATTTCCTCGACTGCCGCGTCCGCGGGTACGTCCACGGCCAGAGTTTTGGTTCCTCATCAGGAGCTGTACTTGTTCACACAGCTTCTGGACATCATCCCTCAGACTGGTGATTTCATTCGTTGCCGCGGCAGGAGAGGCAAACCCTTCATCCCGCGAGACCTTGCAGATGGCTGGTTCCTGGGCGACAGGTTGAGGGGTTATAGCCTTCCTCGCCTGTACATACTGTCCCGCCAATTGCACCGCCTGGTGTATCGTGTCAGGGTTTTGGGT